TCCATTTACATAACACAAGATCAGCCAAAAAAATTCACATTGGCAAGGCTAGGACCGCATCATTCATGAAAACAGTTAGACACCAAGGCCCTCTTCTTTGGAATCAGCTTACCCCTATACCCTTCTTTCGGACTGTGCATAAATTCAAAAGATATCTAAAAAAACGTACTTATTTCTGGTATTATATAAGACGTGCACCCATAATTCACATTTGTATAAGTCACACTCCATCATAATCAAATGTTATATTGTAATTTAGTACATGTATATTTCAATTTCCTTCAGTTTTTCTACTATTATGCCAAGTAAATAATTAATTTATTAATTTATTGACCACTGTCACATGGTTGAACGTTCACATTCCTCACGTATGCATGCGCAATGTACTACAAGCGAATCAGTATTTCATGTTCCGAAATTCTCACTACACCAGCCCAGCTGCGTTTTGACAGAGTTATGAGTAATTTTCCAAGAGAGGCCAAATTGATCATAGGACCAAGTTTTCAATTTTAGGCATTGGGACAAAGGTAGCCTAATTGCTAAAAATGTTCAGCATGTAAACATGTTTACAAACTGATAGCAATTAGGAAGTGTTTACACTTGTGTTTATTCGCCATGTAGGCCATGCAATTATCCATACTCTGAGGCAATTGGTTACCTTCATCCTAGCCCCATAAAATTAATGTGGCCTATTTACTCGACCACCTCCGTAAATAAGATTTACTCACAACGTTAGCATTTGTTACCAAACTTATTTTCACATTCAGACTGCGTGCATAGTTGTTAAAAAAACACTCCCCTTGTCAATAACAAATAAAAAAATGATGCGAAAGCGTTCAACTCCCCAGTTTTGGTGTCATTTCCAACTCCTTTAGGAGGCTTCTTGGCATCCGTTCGTGTGTAACTCACTTGAACCATGTTCCAACTGAACACCACTCTCGCCCAGTAACTGATGGGATACATGGATCGTTCACCTGTCAGTCACGCGCACTGAACTCTATATAAAGACTGGATAGCGGATATCCATACACCAGTCACACAGTAGAATTTGCATATTGACCAACTCGCCCCCGGTCTCACGAAGATGGCCGCGTATTTTACGAACGTTCAACGCGTATATACAGCGCGCTCTGTATCAAGAGTTGACGCGCGTTTTGGTCACGTCACGTACACGTATTATGATTTCGTAAAAAGGACACATTTCCGTAGTGATTATTATTCCAAAACACCGAAAAAGTGAACTGCGGTATTAAAAAAAAAGTAAACAACGACGTTAGAGAAATTGTAAACCGTGGTCAGTGGTGGTGGTCAAATTATAAGTCAAGTGAACCCCGATGTTACAAAAGTAATCATGCTGTATATAAAGATGGCAACTTGTCCTTTGTAGATCACCAGCCGGTCTCACCGGTCTCACCAATAGACCGCTTGCAGACGCGTTCGATAATCGACGCGCGAAGGCGCGCGACGCCATGTTGTGGGACAAGCGCATATCTATCCATGCACATTTTGTCCCACAACATGGCGTCGCGCACCTTCGCGCGTCAATTATCGAACGCGTCTGCAAGCGGTCTATACGGCGTCAAATTAATTCATTGTGCGGCTCTTTATCCGCTATGGTCACGCGGCGCGGCACGCCGCACGCCAGGTAGTCTTGGCCCAAGACCGGCTTTGTCTCGCCGATAGTGCCCTCTACTGTTGCCAGCGCGCGCGCTATATACCAACTGCAAGTAGACGAAAATAATCCAGTCGGATTATTGGCAACCTTGTACCCAGGGTGTCGAGTAGTACGCGCCAACCACTACCTGCTCTCTCCCCCTGGTATTGGATCATTCGCATGTGCAAGATTTTTGAACACGTATGCAAATGAGGTATAGTCTGGTGCCTGGCTGTGCATTATATTTCGTTTGTTATTATAAGCGGTGTCTGAGGTAAAAACAGAATCAATTCGTAACAGTGCAAGCATGGCGTTAGTTACGAAAACACGATGTTATTTTAATTAAACTGTTACGATCTGAATGAGACAACATGCAGTATCACATTTCACATTAACATGAACACATTGGAAAGTAAATGAATATTTTCAAGAAGGCGTGGACGAATGATCGCGAAAACACGTACTGCACGTTGTGAATAACAACACCAAGTACACAATATAAATCAATTTCTAGCCAATTGTGGTATCGAATCAGGATACAGGAATAAAGTTTCCTGTCCAGGACTTACTTTTGGAAACGAGGTTGGAAATAAGGTAAGCACTTGGGACGAGGTTGGATTATTGGGCCAAGCGTTTGATATCTAATTTTAAAGTGGAAAGGAGTATCTTTCAAACCATACCTATATTATTGATGTTGGTTACACATTCTACGTCTGGCATTCCGTTAGGCCTATATTTTGTTTGCATTAAAAAAAAATATATATATTCATACTATATACCATGCACCTCATTACTGTTTGTGAATGAACTTGTGCAATCGTGCAAAACCATACAGGAAACAAATACATGTAAGTTGAATTCTAACCCTTATCCCAACCCCCTAGCCCCTAGCCCCAAAACAATCATGCACTTGTTGCCCGACCCCACTTGCTATGAAACGGAGCAATTTATAGACGCCGGGTAAGGTCAGGGAGTCAATCTAGCTGGCTTGTACGCGTTCGTTCATAGATGTAATCGACTGCAAAGAAAATATGGACTACGTTTGGTGCAGTAATTGAAAAAATGTCATTTTTTTTCAATGTTGGCATGGTCGGCCGACCAGCGTTGGAAATTGATAAAAAAATAACCACTTTTCTTGAAAATGTTAGCACACCTGACTTTTATTTCCTGAAAATGGCGACGTTTAGTTTACCACAATTATTCGGTATTGCGTACATCATCGTGTGGTACCAGGTCAGGACGTATAATTGATACGTGATAATCGGAGAGTGAGAGACATCACACGAGTTTACATCAGAAATCCTAAACCGCTCTTAAAATGCATGCCACAAGAGTCCCATATTGCTTTTTAATATCACCAATTAAGACAAAAAATGCGAACTGCTTGATTTCTTTGGTAAGTACAATAAAGCACAGTACTAATCGATTATGGGAGATTTTTAAAAGCCTTTAGGCGTTGATCAATGAACGTTTTCGCAATGCATGTAAATGTTGGTTTTGAAATTCCCCCAAACAAGGGATGATTCTCTCAAATGGGTTTGGGCAAGTACATTGTCCAACAAATTTTCTAAGCAGGGTTGTCGATTTTCTCGTACAAATTCTGAGTGACTATTCTTTTCTTTAACGACAGCAACACGAAGTAAACCTATCAACAATGCTTACTGAAAATAACATTAAGGGCCTATCTAGTTATCTAAGAGAACACATAACAGACCAAAATTGTTTGTTCAAACAAAGGCTTGGTGTCTTAGAATGAAGCTTGCGGATGATACCGTGTGACCGTCAGTCTCTCTTCAGGAAGAGTTAGTTTTGAAATTCCAGTTGCTTGGTATATTCTCGACATTTTGGACGGTGCCAAATCTTGCAGGAGAATTCAGACTGTCTGAAACATCGAGATCATGTTCTCATTTCTTCACCTTTTCACAGAAGCGTGTGATCACTACAGACTCACAAGGCTCTCTTCAATGGAATAACCATTGCGAAGCGACTGCCCAGTGACAGATTATCTGGTTAGCCGGCATAATGCTTTCGCCATTGAAGGGGGCCTCCGTGATAGAAGTGACCGCGTGCTTGGATTGGTCTTTAACAGGGGGGAACGGGGTCAAATTTGGTTCGAATTCCTTTTGTCGGGAAACAGAATTTTGGAGTGCCCCTCCAGGAAATGACCCCAAACGACCCCATAAATTGCACCCCCAGTTATGCAAATGGACAGCAAGATTGATACGCACATGGTGCAATGCCCCGCATTCCTGTGTTCTTTCTACTATGAAAAGCTTTAAATCATATTTACATGTAAAATGACGGGAGCTGAGATATTAATTCGCCATTTAAATAAGGGAATAACTATGTACTTGGCTGGTTTTAAAAACGGCGTTCAAAACCGTTCAAAACTGCGACCAGCAGACACATAGCCGGTTTTAGACATACTGGTTTAATACCGGTCAAGCACATGTTTTTTACATTCATAAATACCTGTCGGTCAAAAAGTCAAACATTCACAATTTTCCAACGTTCTTGTTCAACAAAAATTTTACCTCGTGTTTTGTGAAACGCCCCTCTTACCAGGTCTATGGTATGTGCGCGGCGCGTATACTGGTATGTGGCGTGGAATGCAACGGTGCAGGAATAGTGTTTTATCAACCGTACAAAATCGAATAACCAAACCAATGGGCTTTCGTCCCATATGAACGGGTAAAATGTCTTAAGTAATCATGAATATTATAAACAGTAACATTTCCATTTTTTTTGCCTTCATTTAAATTACAAGGGCAGTGAAACGCTGCTATAACGAACATCACAAGATCCACAGAACTTGTTCGTAATAGCGATCGTTCGGTATAAGGATTTTAAGCTGCCGGTGCTCCGGAACTCACTTTCAACAAATAGCGCCCTTCATACCTTCACCCTACACGCCCTGGTAGTTGCTGAAAGACGACTTAAAACACGTGCCGACTATTGAACTATGTAATTAAACAGTTTTAAGCTTACTACTTACAGCAATGGGTGGCTTTACCCTTCTATTCCTTGGGGAAATAATAGCCACTTGTCACTCTTATGTTGACAATTTTCAACATCAATGTTCGTACATTTTGTACACAAACATCGGGAGCCAAGGACGATATTGGTATAGCCGAATGTTCGGTATAGCGGTGTTCGGTATAGCGACGTTCCACTGTACGTTTTAGGATGTTTATGTACATGTCATATTATGCTAATTCATCCTTCGTACACAAATCGACCAAGTGCTACCCAGCTTAGTAGGCATGCGTTAAAAATCCTTTGTACATGGGTGTATGCATTAGTACATGTACGCCCTACAATTTTATTTCTCAAATTACCTCAGAAATCACAGTCTGGTTTCGATGTTCTCGTCTATGGCTAAGGCTGTTGTGTTATTCTGTTTTGGTGCACGCATTACAGAGAGAGATGCGTTTTGCCTTCTGGCTTGGCCTTTGCACTTGAACGCCACTCTGATCGCAGAACGGTACGCGGGGTTCACGGCACCGTAGATCAACGGATTAACCATTGCATTGATGTACTGGGGAACAAGGGATATCCATGTGATTTCTGATCCTAATGCAGCCCGAAATGGATCAGGAATCTGAGCCAGAAGACAGATCCATCTAGACAGGCTGAAGATGCGATATGGGGCCTGACATAAGAAGAACACAGTGCCGTTAGCGACCAGCATTTTCGCCACATGATTTCGGATACGAGTTGCATCATGATCTGTGTTTACTGTAATATTTTGGTTGGAGGTGCGTTTGTTGAGCATTTGTAAGATTCTTACATACATGGAAACGTTAGCCACCATTGCCATGATCCAGGGGAGATTCAGTAGGGGCGGAATGAAGTAGTTTACCCGAGGTGATACAGGTCCACAGTACAAATAGCTGGATGGGTAGTCTAGAAAGGCGTCCACATCGGGCCATTGGAGACAACGTACGTTGAGAACTAGAATGTCCGGAGATGTTGAAGCGGAAAACAAAAACCCCACCAGCCAGCAGATTGCAATCATTCTACGGGTGCGTCTTCTTCCGCGGATTTTGAGATGTTTAATGGGATGGCACAGGGCGAGGAATCTCTCGAAAGATACCATGGTAACTAAAGCAATGGATGCAAAGTAGCCAGTATTCATCACGGTAAAAAAACTGACACACTGGGCAGAATTCACGAAGGGATCGTGAAATGCCACGACGGATGCAGTGTAACTCCTTATGTGGTATGCGGACGCCATACTCGAGTAGAGAAGATCAGCAAGTGACAAGTGTGCCAAGTATATGTTGGTATCTGATCTCAGTTTGGGAACACGGACAATGACAAATAGAAAAGTCAAGTTAGTGATGATACCAAGACACCAGATGATAGGTAAGACGATGGTCTTAATGGAGACATCCAAGGGAGTGTATAGCCACGAAGAAACTGCCTCCTGACTGATATTGACAGTATCCTGTTCACTGCACTCAACTGATGTTATTCCTGCTCCCATGATGGCTGTACGTACGTGTAGTATATAAAAGCACAGTCTTGTAAAAGATTATCAATTTGGTGTTAAGTGATCCAGCTCATCAAAGAGATCCCGGCGAACTTAAATCTAAGTTACGATATTCTTCTGGTATAGAGAGTTGTCGTGAGTAGAATCCTTTCTCTAACTGACGTGTCATTGAGCATAAAGGTTTGTTTTGTTGGTGGCCGTGAACTGATGGAAACTGAGCCTTCCCGTTCGTTTTGTTTTCGTACTCATGCGTTGCATAAATAGACTCCGTGCAATATAATAATGTGCGACCTGCTTTTTGGGGAGGGACACAAATACAAAGTGATTGAATTGGGCTTTAAAAAGCGCCTCGGTGTCTCGCAGAATTAAACAAACTGCGTAATATAATTATCCCCAAAAAAGATGTTCCTTCAAAGACCTCAGACGTAGCTGAAAAAAAGAAGAAATTCTGCCCCTCATACTTAGTCAAATTGAAATTCGTGATGTTATCTGTGTACACTTCCAGTCACTCATTAAACGTTCAATATTTCGAAACGCCCTGTGTGTTTGCTCGTTATTTCCAGTTCGAGTCTATTAACGTCACGGCCGTGTGTCAAGACTGGCAAAGTGTCATCTCGAAAAGCCTGCAGAATTTATTCTGTAATTCATTTGCCGGATTTCTGTTTCCATCTTGTCGTGTTCGCTCTTTCCAGTGAAGTTGGGGTCATTGTGATAGCGGTTGCGCTTTTCCCCTTCTCATTAGCAAATCGAAAATTATCTAAACCCCTTGCTATTTTTTTTGTGAGGGGGAGGGGATTGAAGGCACTCTGAAAGTTCTTTGTATGGGCGTTGTTGTTAATTTTACCATGAATGGCACAACCACAGGAGTGATCCAATATACGTTGATTTCATGTGGTTCACATTTTCTCTCTGGTCTTAGAAACTGTTAATTGGTGCCATTAATATACCACCCGGTGTCAACAATGATAAACTTGAATGTCTAGAAACAGGTGTCGCCCCTGAGATGAGCGAGTTCGGAGCACAACCGGTGATGCTTGTGTGTGATTGCAATGTCCATCACCAAGACTGGCTCGGCGGTAGCCTTGGTCAAAGCGTTCGTCATTATATCCGACCGTTCGGTCGGCGGCATTTCCTTGCTATGCAGTGCATTAAAAATACAGCGTGAACAGCGACCTCATGCGGCAACAATTTATGCAAATTGTTTGGATCCGAAGGAACGCCTTGGTCCAATCGTCCATGTGAGGTTTCGTTGCTCATTATGCTATTGGCCTAAGCTGACCTTAAAAGTCGTTTTCTTATTGGTCAATCGTTGCGTGGAAACTTGCATAATAGTTAGCGAGCGGTGTGGCGAGACATGAACTGTATATGATACATACACACACGTTGTGTGTCAATGTCTCACATTACACACAGCACCAATGCACAAAAAACGGGGTTTATAAACGTCCTCAAAAGGCGAATAGCTGTAAATAATTTGATGACGTCGGGATTTACCGAGGTGTGATTGGACACTCAACATATTAGCCCCTCCCACACTTATCTGTATTCGCATATGAGGTCGTGCGCTAGAAATCTAGCGCAAAATATAGAAAAAAGTATTAACTTTTGCAAACAATTAGCCCAAGGCGTTCGATCGGATCCAAATGATTCGCATAAATAGTGGCCGCATGAGGTCGCTGTTCGCGCAGTAATTTTAATGCACTGCATAGCAAGGAAATGCCACCGACCGAACAGACGGATATGATACGAACGCCTTGACCAAGGCTAGCGCTGCAATAGATAATCAAAGACATGCGCGGCGTGAAGTGCTGAACCGACCACCGTTTGGTCAAGTTTACTCTCAAATCTTGATCAAATCGCAGCCAGCTTGGATGACAAGTCAAACCAGTGAGTTTGGCGGTTTTGAGACATCATCTTTCATTGAAAAAAAAATTTTTCATTTCGCCGACGCGCATGGCTCTGGCGACTCGCGCGCATACCAGAAACCGGAGACTTTTTTTTTTGGCCTTAGTAGGCATGCGTTAGAAAATCCTTTGTACATGGGTGTACGCGTTAGTACATGTACGCCCTACAATTTTATTTCTCAAATGACCCCAGAAATCACAGTCTTGTTTCGATGTTCTCGTCCGTGGCTAAGGCTGTTGTGTTATTCTGTTCTGCTCCACTCACTGCAGTGGCAGATGTATTTCTCCTTCTGGCTTGGCCTTTGCACTTGAACGCCACTCTGATCGCAGAACGGTACGCGGGGTTCACGGCACCGTAGATCAACGGATTAATCATTGTATTGATGTACTGGGGAACAAGGGATATCCATATGGTTCCTGATCCTAATGCAACCCAAAAGGGATCAGGAATCTGAGCCAGAAGACAGATCCATCTAGACAGGCTGAAGATGCGATATGGGGCCTGGCATAAGAAGAACACAGTGCCGTTAGCGACCAGCATTTTTGCCACTTGATTTCGGATATGAGTTGCATTATGATCTTTCTTTACTGTCATCTTTTTATTGGAGTTGCGTTTGTTGAGCATTTGTAAGATTCTTACATACATGAAAACGTTAGCTACCATTGCCATTATCCAGGGGAGATTCAGTAGGGGCGGAATGAAGGAGTTTACCCAAGGTGACACAGGTCCACAGTATGCATAGCTGGATGGGTAGTCCTGAAAGGCGTCGACATCGGGCCATTGGAGACAGAGTACGTTGAGAACTAGAATACCCGGAGATGTTGAAGCGGAAAACAAAAACCCCACCAGCCAGCAGATTGCAATCATTCTATGGGTGCGTCTTCGTCCGCGGATTTTGAGATGTTTAATGGGATGGCACAGGGCGAGGAATCTCTCGAAAGATACCATGGTAACCAGTGCAATAGACGCAAAGTAGCCAGTATTTGTTACAGTGAAAAAGCTGAAACACTGTGCAGAATTTACAAAGATATCGTGAAATGCCACGACGGATGCAGTGTATCGCCTTATGTGGTTTGCGGACGCCATACTCAAGTACAGAAGATCAGCAAGTGACAAGTGTGCTAAGTATATATTGGTATCTGATCTCAGTTTGGGAACGCGGACAATGACAAATAGAAAAGTCAAGTTAGTGACGACACCAAGACACCAGATGCTGGGTAAAACGATGGTCGTAATGGAGGCATCCAAGGGAGTATAAAGCCACAAAGAAACTGCCTCCTGACTGATATTGACAGTATCCTGTTCACTGCACTCACCTGATGTTATTCCTGCTCCCATGATGGATGTACGTACGTGTAGTGTATAAGAGAATAATTTTAAAAAAGATCATCAATTTGGTGTAGCGATCCAGCTCATCAAAGAGATCCCGGCGAACGTATATACATGTACATCTAAGTTACGACATTCTTCTGGTATAGAGATTTGTCGTGAATACAATCCTTCCTCTAACTCACGTGTCATGTTGAGCATGAAGGTTTGTTGCCGTGTTGGCGGCAGTGAACTGATGGAAACTGAGCCTTCCCGTGCGTTTTCTATTCGTACTCATGCGTTGTAATTGTGCATAAATAGACTCTGTGCAATATAATAATGTGCGACCTGCTTTTTGGGGGAGGGACACAAATACGACGTGATTGATTTGGGCTTTAAAAAGCGCCTCGGTGTCTCGCAGAATTAAACAAACTTCGTAATATAATTATCCCGAAAAACGAGGTTCTTTCAAAGACTTCAGATGTAGCTGAAAAAAGAAAGAAATTCTGCCCCTCAAACTGGCTTAGTCAAATTGAAATTAGTGATGTTATCTGTGTACACTTCCAATCACTCATCAAACGTTCAATATTTCGAAACGCCCTGTGTTTGCTCGTTATTTCCAGTTCGAGTCTATTAACGTCACGGCCGTGTGTATATACTGGCAAAGTGTCATCTCGAAAAGCCTGCAGAATTTATTCTGTAATTCACTTGCCGGATTTTTGTCCATCTTGTCGTTCGCTCTTTCCAGTGAAGTTGGTGGTCATTGTGATAGCGGTGGCGCTTTTCCCCTACTCATTAGCAAAGCGAAAATTATCTAAACACCTCGCTATTTTTTTGTGTGGGGGAGGGGATTGAAGGCACTCTGAAAGTTCTTGTATGGGCGTTGTTGTTAATTTAACCATAAATGGTACAACCGCAGGAGAGATCCAAAAGGCCTTGAATTCATGTGGTTCACGATTTCTCTCTGGTCTTAGAAACTGTAAATTGGTGCCATTAATATACCACCCAGTGCCAACAATGATAAGCTTGCATGTTTATATACAGGTGTCGTCCCCGAGATGAGCGAGTTCGGAGCACAACCTGTGATACTTGTGGGTGATTTCAATGTCCATCACCAAGACTGGCTCGGCAGTAGCCTTGGTCAAAGCGTTCGTCATTATATCCGACCGTTCGGTCGGCGGCATTTCCTTGCTATGCAGTGCATTAAAAATACAGCGTGAACAGCGACCTCATGCGGCAACAATTTATGGAAATTGTTTGGATCCGAAGGAACGCCTTGGTCCAATCGTCCATGTGAGGTTTCGGTGCTCATTATGCTATTGGCCTAAGCTGACCTTAAAAGTCGTTTTCTTATTGGTCAATCGTTGCGTGGAAACTTGCATAATACTTAGCGAGCGGTGTGGCGAGACATGTACTGTACATGATACATACACACACACACGTTGTGTGTCAATGTCTCTCATTACACACAGCACCAAGGCACAAAAAATGTGCTTTATAAACATCCTCAAAGGCGAATAGCTGCAAATAATTTGATGACGTCGGGATTTACCTAGGTGTGATTGGACACTCAACATATTAGCCCCGCCCACACTTATCTGTATTCGCATATGAGGTCGTGCGCTAGAAATCTAGCGTAAAATATAGAAAAAAAATAAACTTTTGCCAACAATTGGACCAAGGCGTTCGATCGGATCACAATGATTTGCATAATTAGTGGCCGCATGAGGTCGCTGTTCGCGCAGTAATTTTAATGCACTGCATAGCAAGGAAATGCCACC